AGTGATTCACTTATCAAAACTTATTAGATCACTTATTTTCGTTGTAATTTGTATTCCTTATCAGAATTTATTTTCTACAAAACTACTTTGTATGAACTCAATTAAACTTACACAAACTATTAGGTGCGTCAAGTTTGTGCGGCGAGAAGCACCTCACTCCTTTTCTTCCCTTATGTTTCTCTCTCCTATGCTCTCCTCCTTTTTTACTTTACTCCATTATCAGATCCTCTAAAATTACTACCACCTTCACGATTATTCGACGACGAATTATATTCATAATAACAATTATTATAGTTATTGCGATTGTAATTGTAATCAAAGCTATTAATTGGGCGAAAATCGGCGTTGCGCTGAAAAGAAGAGTTCGAATCACGAGTAGATTGAGCATGAGCGTCACCGAAGACGGCGGTCGAGTGGTCGGAGAAGGACCGGCGATCTCGACCACGACCTCGACCTTGACTTCAGCCTCCTTTGAACTGCAATAGAGGAGAGAGAAAGTGAGAGAATTTGGTTTTCTAATTCAAACCTTAATATTAGCGAGTCAAAGTGCCTCATTCACAGCCAAGATAGGATCACTAACTAGCCAATTAAAGAAAGATAAAAATCCGCAGAAATAGATGCTCAATAAATCATCTTCATTAGCATATTGATGGGCAGAAATAGCAACCAAGTGTTAGTAATTGGAAGCAACTTGTAGTTGGTAAAGCCAAAGATAATGCTTTCTTGTGACTAGCCTGGAATAAACTTATAGTTGATATCGTTTCATGGAGGTAAAGTACTATGATTAATTGGCTATATGACATGATTAATTGTATAGATGATATCATTCATTTTTTGGCTGATATCATCTATAAGTTGGATGACAACCTCTATAGCTGGATGTGATATCATGTATATCAGCCAGCAAAATACAAATATCAGCCAACAAAAAGAATATATCAGCTGATATATATCAACCAACATTAAGAACATATCAGACATTAATAAAATCATATCAGCCAACAACAGGAACATATCAGACATCAGTTGACTAATATGTTTCTTTAGTTGGCTTATATATTTATTTTGTTGGCTGATATGTTTATTTTGTTGGCTTTTATGTTTCATTTTGTTGGCTGATATGTTTATTTCGTTGGCTTATATATTGGTTTTGTTTTGTTAATTTTATCCTTTTGGGCTGATACGCTTCATTTGTTGGCTGATATTAAATAAAATTAAAAAAAAAAACATTCAACTAACAAAAGAAATATATCAAACAATACAAAAAATATATCAGCCAACAAATGAAATATATCATCCAACAAATGAAACTTATCAGCCAAGCTTACCGCACATAATTATACGTACGACAGTCCACACCCAATACCTTCTCTTAAACTTATTAACCTTATAATAAGTAAAATAAGACTAACAAAACAAATCCTAAATAAACAGTCTCAATCAAAATCTCAATGATCATTCAAGATAACTTCATTTTATGCCACACTGTTAGACCAAAGAATTCTGTGGTCCCACATATAGAGGGTGGGTCCAAAGGATGGAGGATACTATGCCTAATTCAGGTACTAGGTTGGATGAGCTACTCCCTACCTAAGAACTGGAGTCATTCGAATAACGGCTGTAAGGGACTTGGGAAAGAGACTATGTGACACGTGTGATGCTACCATTTGTCACGTGTAAACTGTATAGGAGCTGTTTGGTTAAGTTATAAAATTAAGAACTTAATAATGCAAAAAAATTTATCCTATCATTTTATGTGCAAACATATGTGGATTCTCTAGTCTGTAAAAGTGGATATTTGCTTATTAGAATTAATGATTGATTGCGATTCCAAACAGAGCCTTAAACTCATAAAATGGGGACCGTTTCTCACGTGTGAAAGCCATAAGACATGGATTATGAATGTTGCAATTTAGGATATTCATGTGAGTGCAATTCTCTTCTTCATGTATATTCAATCTAATTTTCTACTTAGGGGAGAAATATATTTTTGGTTTTAGTTTTAGTTATATGAAGAATCTAACAATCTTTGTGATAGAAGCAAATCCAAAGAGATTCAAGTTATATATCATTAAAGAGATGTGAATAAATAATGCACGAGATTGAAAATGTTTTTCTTTTTTTTTTTTCTTTTTTTTTTTTTTTTTTTTTTTTTTTTGGGCGTAGGTTCATTGGTCATCTATGTATGTTTGGGCATAGGTTCATTGGTCATCCATGTATGTTTCCTATTTCTTAATCAATATAAAAAAACATACAATGATACAGTTGAAGAAAATGATCGTTTAGTCAATTGCAGAATTTATATGGATATTGGCGAATCTAAGGGAAGCTAAAAATCTAGGTCATGTGTTTCTCTATAATCTAGCAAGATCAGTTATATTTTGTCAAGTGTAGCAATAAGATCATGCAACGTAATTGGTTATAGGGTTTTTTGAGACATAGAAGTGTTCAAAATCACAGCACACCTCAACTTTCATTTAACCTTGCTTCATATTCCTTTTCCTCTTTTGCTTAGTTGGCATAACAACACGGTTGTGCATGACAAAACGTGCAACACAAAATGTATCACCAGAACAAATCTCAAATGCATATTCGGATATTCCTATCATTTTAAACTGAGTGTCTCCGAATTGCCAATTAAATTGCTTCAAAACCCTAGCATATATTTAGCCATGCACAGTCATCATAGAATTAATCCAATACAATTAGTATAGATACAATATATTGTTGTACTAATAAGAGTAGTTAATAAGGGATGCATGAAGATGAGTAGGTGAGATAGAAATAATGTATGTGTTCCCTATTGGATTGTCACAAAATAAGGTAACTGTTAGTTTCAACTTTACACAATATGTGTCAAAGCACATCTCATTTTTTTAGCAAAAAAAAGCAACAAAATCCCCCTTTACTCCTTCCTTATTAATTTGTCTTCAAACACTTTATGTTTATTTGGCAACCTAACCAACAGATCCAACCTTCTCCTGCACTTTGTCTTCTTCCTAAATTGTCTACTTAAGATTTCAGATCTGAACTGAGATATGCTATGCTCCTCATTTCAAAATTACCATTTTACCCTTCTGCAGGAATACTCTGATTGCAGTCTTTTTTATATAAAAAAAATTATTTTTTGTAAAAAAAATTTGATTTGATGATACTCGTAAAAGACAGCAAATGGAAATGGGGTCCACAAAAGGAGTTTTTGTACTGTAGAATTTATGGGGTGGCAGGATCAAAGGGTCAGTAAAAAAGGATGAATCTTGGCCGTTCAAATGCAGTGACAAATCTGTATGCTAAATATTCGATGTCTAAAATAAAATTCTGTAATTTTCTAAGGATTGGAATTTTGAAGTTATTTTTTTATGAAGTACCCCTTTTCATTGGGTCCACTATTCTTGAAGCAGTAAAAAAACAGTCACTTTCAGAACTCACAAGGGATGTGATCATATGTTGGTTGCATTTTACCTGTTGCTTAATAAATTCTTTTATTGGGTTTTGTAGGTGGGGTGCAGGATTTTGCTGATTTAGACCACGACAATTGTTAGTCCGAAATCTCTCATAAGTCAACCTACACCGGGTTAATGGACTAGAAACTTCAAGAGTAAGGGGAAAGGTAAAGGAATTCTCACCCTCAAAGTTTCTCTAGTAAGGGGAAAGGGTAACGGACTAGACACTTCGAGAATAAGGGAAAAGGGTAAAGGAATCCTCACCCTCAAAGTTTCTCTAGTGGAGATTAAACCTCTAACCTCAAGGTTGGAAGGACTTTTCCTTAACATTATTAAGCCAACACTTGGTTTTTCACTCAAACATTTGTAAGTTGTTAAATACATAGTGTGTAGTAACTCATTACAAGTAAAAGTCATACCACAATCTTACAGGTTACTATAAGTTCGCCTCGTATAAGAATTCACTCAAGTAATCCTAGAAGAGGGGGAAATAGGGCTTGATTTGGGAGCTTATGACACATTTCTATTGCTGTTCATACTCATAGAAATAGCTCGGGCTGATTAGGTGCACCAAAAAATGTGGGCTCTTAGATATCATACTGACAATTAATGGTTCACTATTGTTTTCTTTTAAGGCAATGCCATAATATGGGAAATTAATACGCTCAAAATAGCCATAGAAAAAACAAAAGGTCATTTATGTTGTACTAGCACTTAATAAATTGGTCGGTCTGGTTTGTTTTGGATCTGATTAAAAAAGGTAAAAGAATAAGTATGATTTTCAAGAAAAATAACCTAGGAGAAATTACTTTTAAGGCTAATATAAGCATACAACTAAATGCAACTAATTAAGGGTTATATAGCATGGAGCAAAATTGACCTATAATAACCTATAATCAGCTTTGGATAAATATTATTTACAATCTACATTGGACTTACTAAAAGCTACCTTCTCAGGAAGTACAAAAGAGGCACACAACATCCATTTTCCTGGTGCAACAGCACGAACACGACGCATTTCAACAGCGACAGCAGCTTCTTCTAGCGCGACTCTTATCCGCTGCATTGTCATGTTAAGAGGCGTTTTCTTTTAAGAAATAATTATGAATAATAAAAGACTTCAGGACGAAAGCCACTCAGCCAGTGAAGCTGAAAACAATGGCAACATAAATTTAAAAAAAATAATAACAAAAAAACAAAAGGTGCATTTATATAATCTGAAGACAGTAAAATACAGCAACAATTAGCTACATGCTATAGAGACAAACCTCATGGAAATCAAATTCTGGATCTTCAGCCTTTGAGAATCCGTAAACATGGATCTTCGGCAAAGTCAATTTTCTATCTCTGGTTCTGTTACTAAAAATCCCACGAAAGGCATCTGTAATATGAAAAGGACAAGATCAAAACATTATTGCAGAAGCCACTACATTACATACGATGAGTGTAAAGTGCGGGTGCATGTGTGTGTGTCGTGATGAAATTAAAAAATAGAGCAGGAAAAAAAAAACTACAGCCTACAGAACAGCATAGTGCTTTCAAGTTAACCAGCTTGAGTAATTTTAAGTGAATTCTGTCATTACAAATTCCACAAAACAGAAGTTCCACTTCCAAACATAACAATCTGAACGTCAGCAATGCCAGATTTTACAAGGTCAAATTTTACAAGTAATTTGTTCATTAAGTTGTGGGACATACATAGGCACAACACTAACTGGCTATAATTGAATTGATTCCTCATTTACAACTTCCATATCACTTAAATCATTGCAACAATCTTTTCCTGTATATATGCATGTTTATCACTCCCGTAAGTCTCGTTCGTAAAGATTGGATACATGATAGCCCCATCCCAAGTATCTGCACGTTTATCACTTCTCTTCATACTTTCCCTATTCTTTGTGCCCTTGATTCCTTATTTTTCTTCACCTTTTCGAGGGTGAGGGATGGAGGGTTTGCAGCACTACACAAAGAACTCAGAACCTATGTAACTTCAATACCCTGCTGTACATCGAGTGTCGCGTGTTGGATCCTCCAATGCCTTCGACACGACACGACATGCCACCCAAATATATAGTGGCCTTGTAAGAAAATTCATAAATTCTAGAGCATCAGAGGATCAAACACCATGTCAGACACGACACCCAAAATCCAAGTCTGAGTGTGCTCAGAACTTAGAGCTAATAAACGCAACAAGTCTCAGCCCTATGAGCTATGAAAAGAATGCTGTAGGGGCCTTTTTTCTTGGGATATTTTATCACTACTAGCATAAAATATAATTTTGAAAAACTAAGATATTGCAGCGAAGTATGTACCTAGAAACTCCACTGCATCATTTGGCAAATTCATGACAACTTGTGTGACGGGATGGGTCTCACTCAAGAATATAGCCTCGATAAATCTTCTCCCGTCCATGTTATATACCTAAGCACATAAATAAAAATGAGAAAAGGTTTTCCCCAAGTGTACCTTTGAAGCACCATGCTATTCAGGTAAAAGAAAATAATACATGCTACTCAAGAATGGCATAATTAAAGAAAATTATATATACGGCTGAAGACCACAGTGGTTATAAAGTATGAACAAGGATAAGAAACAATCATGACATCAGAAAATTAGATAGAAGAATAGCCAACTGTTGAGAATTTCAAAAGGCAAATTTCGATACCACATTACTAATACTATGAGCCGCAATAAATTTGAACAATTTCAAAACCAAAGCCAGTCACCGACTATAACAACAGACATTAAGGTTTAAATTCTCCAAGCCATTTATATGACTTGGAAGCTCTGAAATTTAACATTATATTCTTGCTCTGACAGGTGAGTTACGGTACTTTGATACTTCATTCTCTTACATACTTGTGCCAGACACTCAAAACTCTGACAAGGGTATAAAGTCCTCATTACCTAACACTCAAAACTCTGACAAGGGTATAAAGTCCTCATTACCTAACACTCAATTCTCATCCAAACATCTCAAACAAAGAAAAAGATACGTGAGAAATGCTCACAGATGGGCTTAAGATCATAATTATGACAAGAAGTCAACCTATAATACGTGCAAATGTATTTGTAACAAGTAAAGCAAATGCAAAAAAATTTAATATCAGGACTATGTTTGATAATTGCTGTTCCCCCGGCCTCCCTGCACCCATGTCCAATTTTGGAAGTGCCCCCACGTCTGAAATTCTGAGACCTGACATGTGACACTTCCAAATACCTGAACCATAGCTGGTGAGTTGCTTGTCATGGACTAGCATTCGCCCATACGAGGAAGCTGTGGAGCTCTAATGCAAGTGCCCTCAGGGTCACAGCTCACAGGTTTGCATGTCCAATTAGTAAGCCATGCTTTTCCCAGATGGTCGACATACTCGACAAGACAGGCTCATCCCAGAGAAAATGACAATCAAACTTACAAGTTATTTTTTTCATAGAGGTGTGAATCAATTTCCCGAATCCTGGATCCATTCTAAAACAGACTTTTGTGAATAATCATGAAAAATGGCAAAGGGGAGAGAGGGGAAGAGAAGGGAAGAATATGCCTAAAGTTTCAGTGCTTTACCTTAATTTTCCTCTCAAGCTTATTGAGGACAGTGTTTCTTTCGAGATAATCAACTGCATAAGGATTCAGATCATTTGCATATACACGTTTTACTTTCTTTGCTGCAGATATAGCTATCGGACCAACCCCAGAGAAAACATCGCCTGTAAATCGGAAAGTAAAAAATTGATTCTTCAGTGTAAACAGATTATTCTTTCGGCTCCATTTTTCAAATAGAAAACATGTAAAAAGTAAACTACCATCCAAAAACTTAATGGCAATTTCAAAAATCACTTAACCACTGTAGGTTGAAGTTCCTCTACCAATCGGATACATGAAAAAGATGAGACTTTGCAGAGAATATGTGATATTTTGTCCATTAGACAATAAACAATTATAAAGAATACAAATATAATAATAACAATAATTGATTGCTATAAAACTCATAAAATTCATACAACTACCACTGTGAAGTGAACATACATAAGACATCATCACTCGTAAAGCAACTTATGAGCCTCTGTCTTTCAGTTGATAGCCTGGAATTCCAGTAGCTGCATTGTATCAAACAAGGTATCACTTCTATGAACATGTCAACCCACCTCTCTGAATAGGAATATTTCAATTCTAGTTAGCCTCAATATTAAAAAAATAAATAAACAAGAAAGAAATAATCAAGCTCGGCATCTTAGAATATTTTAAATTTTGACGATAAATTCGAGTTAGCATAACAGGACTCCATGAGTGACTAAATAGTACAGTTTTTTTTTGTTTTTTTTTTTTTTTTGAAACAAATTAAAAAGTACAGTCAGTTCACAATAGCAGAAGGATTAATTTGACCACACATTTATACAGGCCACACCACATTGACTTGATTTTGTACCATTTATTTTACAGCAAGATTTACTTCCAACTAGCTTGTTCCACTCCTGGTCTCCTGCTATAAAACATGGCAATCTAATCCCATTGATTTTACAGCAGTGTTTCTATGCCTGCCTGAGAATTGCCTCAAAATCAATAATAATACTTCATTCCATGGTGATAAATCTCTTTGGGAAGTGGGAATGAAAGAATACTTTGAAATGGAAAGACACAGACAATCTAATACCACACACTGTATCAATATACAGGCCAAGGGAGTATAATATCTAATATTAATCAGCTGCCAATCTGGACTGAATCAATTGATCAACATTCAACGGTAAATTTTCATTTTTTTTCACAAGCAATAGATTACACTTCACCCTCAACCAATAAGCTAAATTTATGAGCTTGCATTACTGTAGCTGATTATCATGACTGCAGGACTATCTGTCATAATTCAATAGATATATTAGCGAACACCTGTAGGAAAGCTCATCAAAATAATTCTTTAATCATGTGTCAACAGATCCAAACTAAACTTTCTCAAGTGATAAATATTTTAAATAGGTACGAATAAAAGCTATCATGGAACACAATTAGCTGCTTATCAGAATTAGAACTGGTATATGCAAAAATTCCACTGAAGTAGGTTCTGTGACAATTATTTATGTAACAGAAAAATGCTGCAGAAAAATATAGTCATAAAAACTTAAGCTGGGATGGATACAAAAGAGACATGATACAGAAAGCTGTATTAATTACAACCAAGACAATTTCTGAAATTGCACATTAGGGAATGATGCATCTAAAATTGACCATGTTGATATGAATGGCAGGAGAAGATTGCATACACTTTCGCTAAGTCGATTTGGAAACGCAACCCATTCTCACTGAGAATCACAACAAGGGAATGATTTCCAGCTAGTACCTCCAGCTCCATCGTTCTGAAGTCATTACTGATGGCTTCAATTTTATTTACAACTGTTTGAATCTTTGGTTTATTTTTGTCCAGAACTACCTGAAGCCAAATACTATCTATTACACAGCAGAAAGCAAGCAATCAAAAACCCAAAATAAGTTTACATCTCCAGTAATCACCTTTGCAATAACCTTCTTGTATGGTAAATGTTCTTCTTTTAAGTTCAGGTGTGCAATATGCCCAACAGTTTCAAAAGCAGAGGGAATAATCATATCCTTTGGCAACAAAGCCTCCAACACCTGCAGTAGAGAATCTTATTACTTACATGCTATAACTAACAGACCAAACATATAAGCCCAGCTAAAATCTAATTGACATTGTCAGAGAAAGGACAGGCTTCTCACAATGTAACATGAAAAACAGCTTTGAAGCCATGTTAAATGTCATTCAGAGGCACAGATTTACATAATAAAAGGAAAATTTGTGAACAACTACCTATTATGACACAACATTTTGTAAATAACTAACTTATGTAATACTATTTATGGCAGCACTACCGAAAATAACGAATTCCGTCAAAGTTGCCTTTTACGGGGCCCATCCAACCGCTTTCCTCCCTTTCTCTGACTTCTTCCACCCTTTCTTTGTCTTTTCCCTTCCATTCCAAATTCATTTCCCCCATTTTGATATAACAAAAACGGAAGAGCACTAATCCTACCAATAAGCTGATAGCAAATCAAGAAATATTATGCAACAAAGCAGCTATGACTTCAAATTTTTGTGGATACATGCCTAACGTACTAGAAATCATCCCCAATTTGGATTTGTAAATTAGGGGTAAATTAATAAAGAAGCTTGATGTTTATTTGGAGCATGTTGTAAACTCAACATATCAATATCAACCTACTAATTGGCTATCTTTAATTGGTTAAGGATACACCTACTCACAATTTATTCAACAGCTGTTCTTTGTCTTACGCGCACATCTTACGATCTCATTTTATCAGGAGTTGTTGGAAGTTCTATTGATTGATACTACATCTTCTATTATATTTTATTGATTCAAAGCAGTGATATTGAGATTCAAGAAGATGCAAGCTGATTTGAAAAAGAGATTCATGGAAAGAGAACGAAAGAAGATGTTGCATAGGAGAGAATAATGGAAAGTTGTTGAAGAAAGGTTGTGTTTGGTCCTACAGACGGGTTGGATATCGGCAGTATAATTATTTCAGGCAGAGAAAGGGAGAAAAGAGGTTGGGTATGGGCCCTACAGACAAGAGTTATTTGTTACTTACAAAGACACAGATATTTATTAGGTAGTTATTTGTTACTAAAAAAAATGTAATTTATTAGGTAGTTATTTGTTACTTACAAAGACACAGATATTTAAGTAGTTGAATAAATAAATAAATAAAAAATAATTAAAAAAAACCACACACACACATATTAAATAGTTGAACACAAAAACCATGTCATAGTAGGTCAGTTGTTCACAAATGTTCCTGAATTAATAACAAGTTACCAAAAGTACATATTAGGACGCTGAAAAACAAGAGTTAAAAAAATTTCATCTATCAAAAGGCTAACACTTAAGAAATAAACAAGCTTAACAAGTTAAGTTCACCAGGACACCAGGTATAGGCTACTTCCAGTCTTCCAGACAATATAAAGGAAAGAAAAGAAGAAAGAGCATTCAGAGCAGATAATGCCAATCTAACTTGATTGGTTAACAAAGAGCAGTATAGTACAATAATAACTATTCTAACCATAAAAACTTAGACAGATACAAATAAAAAATATCTGCAGAAACTTAAGAGTGATCAAACTTAATACTTTTTGGAGAATTTAGGTATTATAGCACGCTTGAAACAGCCAATCAGGCCAAGTACATTTGCCACAGCCCACAGTCAAAGTTGCAATCCTAAATTGTTATATGAAGAAATATCATAAAGAATCAAGTCCAGTGTCTATCAGCTAGCATCGCCCAAAACTTACTATGTAGAGAGCACTATAGAAACATACTCTTCTAATATAGAGAAATCATAGAGCTTAGGAACTGAATAGGCCTAAGTCACAGTTTGTTATCTCACCATTATTGTTGTCTCCACATTCCTCTTTTGCACACGGCAATAAGTTATAGTGGTTGCTCATGGTGGATTTTTCTAGATTATTTTTTACAATGCCTGCTAAATTATAATGTTAAGGTATTCAAGAGAAATTATCTTAGGAGAATAATTATTAATTCTCACAACCCCCCCCCCCCCTCAATAATTATCCTTGAACTTTTGTTATAACCTGGAGTTCTCTTTTCACCATTTGCAATATATCCAACTTATTTTTATTTTTGTTCCTCCATATCTCCCAAAGGTACACAATTTCCGTCTCCAATAATCTCTTTGAACATGGAGACTGAATCACAGATCCTTCTTCATGTTTATCACCTTCACGGCTTCACCATCAACCTTAATTATTTCTTCCACTTGGCTCTACATCTCTACTACTTTTGCAGTAGGTATGGTCTCCTCATCACCAATAATTTTCCAAATAGCTTCTCCTTCTAATAGGAACTGTACACACATCCTCAACCTTGTATAGTAATCTCCATTCAACTTATCCATCCAGCTAGGAAAAAGGCCCAAAACTTTCAACATCCAACACCTTGATTACAAGAGTAATCATCGTGTTAGTAGCACACTCCTCCTAACAAATACTAAGACTAGTGACAGTGTGACACATGCCAATATTATACTCAATTCTGTATCTTAGTCCAAAAACAATACCCTTAACAAAGTAAATCTCCAGATAGCCAAGGTTATCTCAGCACCATGACACTAAGCCACACATTGCACGCTCTAATGGTGGGCACAATTCCCTTCTCCAAACCTCACTTAGTTAACATCACCTTAGTACCTATCCCAACTCGTTTCTTACGATCGAACTCGCTTTGATAGCAAATGCTAAGTGTTGAGAATAGAAAATTATTCTCCGGCGAATATTTCTCTAGTAATTTTTGACATTACAATTTGGCAGCATGGTAAAAATAATCTTGAAACTTCCACCATGAATTATAAGCATTTTACCATGAGCAATAGAGAAATGCGAACAGCTCCTTGAAAAGGAAACAATAGACTTTTATAGATTGAGAAAAGCATATAATGCTTGTGTAGTTGTGTAGGATATATCTAGCAACAAGATAATTCTAAACTATATGTAACAGCATCTTATATTAGCATGTAGGATTGTTGTAGAGGCCCACCGTAGTATAGTCCGCATAGTAACCTTAATCACAATATCAAAGTCTTAATCTCAATAGTCAAATGGATATTTCAACTAAATGTACCGAGAATCTATCCCCTATCAACAAAGATCTTTTTTTCCACTTCTATCCAACATTATGTACTCTTAAAGCCCAATTTCCTGATATCATTATTAACCCCACCCCCTAGGCCACCCACACTCACACCAATCCAAGTCATTTTACCATCAAGACTTCTAATATCCCCACAATTCAAACTTTCCACTTCCTTACCGATGCATCAACATGACACATGCTGGAGTTGGTTTTCCTTACCTTATCCTCAATAACTACAACTCTTACCTTACTTTGTATTATTGTATATTCTCATTTCGAGTTCTATCCCTTAAAAGTGTTCCCAAGAACCCATCCCAAACATAAAAATCTTTGCTACACTTGCTTCCTCCATTGGCAAATATAACTCAAGTTGTCTTTATTTTTCGATCCGTTGTGATCACCCAAGGTGCACAAACACTCATAACATAATTTCCTATTGAAATTTCCCCAATCGTGAATAATCACTTTTATAAGCATGGAGATTGCATCACAGTTTTCGTCTTAATGTTTTTCTCTTTCACGGTAAACCTTAATTAAGTTTCCTAATTCTAGTTGTTTTAGCCCTTTAGATCGCAAGTGAGTTGTTACCTATGCCATTGTTATTAGTATAGGAAAGTATGTTAGTTTCCTAATATATATGTTGTATTCTAAACCTAGGATGAGTCTAGAATTATTTCCTCCTTAGGGTGAAGGTAGAATTCCAACCTCTATATAAGGGGGCTTGGGATCATTGTTTCATAGGCTTAATATGCGTGAGAGAACACTCTTAGTAAGACTTGTTACTGTTCTTGAGAGAAAATATAGTGTATTTACGGTGTGTATGAAAGTTGATTATATTTGTTTAATTGATTAGTAATACTGGTTGGTTATCCCCTCTTGTTACTTTGTTAGTGAGGGGTATTTTCCAAATCCATTGTTCGTAATTGTCTTCATCTTTGCATCTTGGATTTTTTAATACAAATTGCTTGTTGGTTTTGATCCCACTATAGCTTACACATATAAGCTTTCAGTTACATTAATGGAATGCACCCTTTTAAAAGGAACTACAATGCACAATTTCCCACAAAAGATAAAAGCTTTAACCCTTGAGTCCCAACAAGCATCTAATTTCCAGGTTCTCATTTCTCTGCAGTACCACCAATTAATGCTATTAATGGAATCTTCCGAAGGAGTCACATGACTAGTTGAAATCCCATTATAAAGCAAGTAACAGATACAATGCATACCTCAAACAAATGAAATAGGCATAAAAAATATGAATGATGACATAGTGTAAAACTTTGAATACTTATGTACCTCATCATTAGACCAGTAATCATACGACAAGGTCAAATTGCACCTCACTAGCTCACAACTTGACTTTGTAGCCTCGCTTGAACCTTCAATAAAAGCTGCCTGATAAACAGATTAGAAATGTTAACAAAACTGAATGTCAGATAGTTTGATAGTTGAGATGCATATAATATAAGTTAATAAAACAAGGATCAATGGTTCACTTAAGCTCATTATGAAGCACTACGATTCGAGAATTGCAATGACAACCAAAAGGGTGCATAATTATCACCTTAACAGCTTCAGGAAGCTCGTCAAATTTCTTCCCAGCATATCTTTCATCCAAAAGCAACAACCTAGTAGACCCCCTCCACTTCCTCCCCATAAATTCATCCCCTAACAACCCACTCAAATCACCACCAACATTTTCGCCCTCGCCCTCACTCTCCTCGACAACCTCCACCATTACACTCCTCTTCCCCTTCCACTTCTCCCCAACCTCACCGCGACTCTCCTCCTCACTTTGCCTCTCCTTTCGCCTCTTCTTCTTCCTATTAGGCCTCGAAATCTTAGCTAAATTCCGAAACTTCACAAAACCCCTAGCATTAAACTCCTTAGCAAGCTTATCCCTATACAAAACCCCACTCAATTCCTCCCCATCCCCTTCAGCTTTCCCATAAATCCTCCGGCTCACCGCCTTTTCAACCTCATTTTCCTCTCCAATCCCTAACCCCTTATCCTCCATCAACAACCCTTGAACTTCCTCATCAATTTCATCCCCAGGAACCCTAGCAATGTTCGAAACACGAGGCCAATTAAGCAAGTGCCCTCGAATCCTACCCTCTAACTCAAAACACCGCTCCGACGGAACCCGAATTGCAGCAATTTCAAATACCCGGGTAAAATAGTCTTCCTCAAATGGGGTTTCATCGCCATTTTCGGGGGTTTGAGCTTGTTGGGGTGGATTAATGGCGGAATTTAAAATGGGGTTTTGATGGGGTTTTGCAGGAAGAGTACCCTTTTGAAGAGAAGGGCCATAGGAGATGGAGGAGAGAGAATGGGATGAGATTACAGCGGCGGAACATGCGGCGGTGATGCGGCGAAGAGAGAGAGGAGAGGTGGAGGAGAGAAGTTTGGGGAAGAACTTGGGAGGAGCGAGAAAATGGGAGTGAAAACGCAGAAGCATCAATTTCTGGGTGAACATCACTACACAGTACACACAACTTCACAGTGGCAGTAGAGTTGCATGGAAAAGCAATGCTTTGATTGTTTGGCTCAACGGATAAGAGGTTGGGTGCCTGACATCCCGTCCAATACTCCCTTCGAGCTCAAATAATCTTATGAGTTATGTGTATAGAATTATACAATAGGTGATTTCCGAGATTAACTTGTAAGACAATTGAAGATTATGTGATTGTATATTATTGAGTATTACTTCCTACGTATTGACAATTGTGTATATATGTATTGCAATCTAAACGGTGCATTCAGACACACGATGTCCATTATGCATTCTACCAAAAACGACAACTCTAATATAATAAAAGGTGCGTGTTTCCCTCTACATATTAAAAAATAAATAAACATAACTCAATATGAATAAGGAACACGAAGCTCTCTCCCTCCCATTGTATATGAAAAGAATACAACTCAATATGAAAAGGAACATAAAGTTGTTTAAAACTAAAGTAATTAGAGTGGGTTGGCTTGCACCAGGATAGCCGGCGAACCCCTCACCCCCAGTCAAGCCAACCAAGGCGTTATCGGTGTCGTAACTCCAATTCGTTTTGAGGTTTTACTTTCTGGTTTTTCTCGTTATTTTCCGCGGACATGCTTGCTAGTGGTGGTGCTCCGATCTTTTCCTAGTCTGTTGCCCTTCCTTCTGGGGGTGCCAGCATATCTTAGCCGAATCTTGGACCTCTATTTTAGCCCTTGCCGCATGCAGCTAGCAGAATCTATCTATTTTTGATAGTTGCCACCAATCTCCACTAAGGCCTTATGATTTGATGTTTTTCCTTTAGTTTACTAGTTTGCCGGTCTTGGACTTTTGATCCTATTTTAATAAAAAGGCTCTTTTAGTGTGTAACTTCATTCATGAAAATGTTAGTCAATTTCCTTTCCGTTTTAAGCAGTTTTTTGTATGGATTGCCGCAAATTACTTAGTGTCCTCATGTACACCCACTTGAACGATGATTTTGACGAAAGCATTGTCAACTTTGCCAAAAATAATTGTCCCCAGAACATTCTTAATCAAGCAAAAAGACTTGAAGGAGGAGGGAAATACTTACTCTAAGAAAAGTGAAGTCGTTCGGCTAAGTATGACAGAGGGCTAAAACTTCTGTGCTTTTGTCTGCCAAGAAATGAAGATGATTGTGTCTCTCTATGGAACCTTACCATATCCTTTGAGTTAAACCTGGCACCTTGCACCTTAAAAGTCCATGATTTCGAACAAACTAAGGGCTCTGCTCATTAGTCATTATGCTTGATGGTAACAGTACTAAAGCCCTTTACAGAAGGGCTTTAGCCGAAATCAAGCTTTATCAACTTGAAGAGGTCCATGAAGATCTTGGTAAAGCAGCTTAGACTGAGCCTAAAAATCAGGATATCCTTCGCGAGATGGAGAAGGTGGAGGGCTTAAGAAGAAAAGCTAGCAAGATCAAGGGAAAGAGGGGCACTGAGGAATCCGACTTGACCCACACCATCTTCAACAAAAAGGGGAAGATCAGCAATCCGATCCCTCTGTCAGTCTAGACTTCACTGGGTTGCCTATAGCTAGTAGCGATACTCAGAGTGATATTACAACCTTACCCACCATGGACGCTGCTAATGAGATGATGGTAGAGAGCATTATCACTACATCCAATATTCTTACCCTTTTGAAAAAGGGGGACGATGATGCTACTAGCTCTCCAAACAATCAGGATTCTATACATGCTAAGGATAAGGGACCGAGGAAATTTCATATGTTCCTCAACGGATCGAGAAGTAATCAGTCCCTTAAAATTTTCGATTTGTCTTATTCGGATCTCTGTCAAGGGAAAACCTTGAGTTTTTTCAAACATTCTGCTGTATCATGGATGACTGTACGAGTGAAGGAAAAGACCACTTATGATGGGCACTTTAAATCCCATAAGGCAAAGGAATCTAAAGTTCCTGAAACCTTTCTCGTGCCCACTAGGATGGTGGGTCCAAAAAAGAGGTGTCACAACATAAAGGGCCAAAAGTAAAAGGCCAAGCGATCCCTGGACTTCGTCGCGGTCAGCCACGTTGTTGGACTTCCCAAGACCAACAGCGCTGCCGTTGAGAAGTTAGATGATCATATACTTACTAGCCTAACTTCTAGCAACAATGGGGGTTCGAATATCAAGGAGGGGAACAAGTTACCTATGAGAGATTTAACTACCATTGATATCGATGAAGTGGAATCTGTAGGTTCTAACGACGAAGACCCCATGACGATCATGTGCAGTCCTCTCCACCACTCACTACCTTCATGTTCTCTGTTACGTCAAGAAAAAATGGAAGGCCAATCAGGTCAAGGGTGAAGAACAAGAAATGTAAAAGGTATTCTAGCCGTTGTTTGTGCAAGATCAAGAAACGCAAGGGAACAAGTTTGGAACAACTTAGGGCTAATTATGGCGCTGGCTATGGATATCCTCAACCCCCTTATTTGTATTGCCAAGCTATTCATAACGTTTGTAACCCCCAATCCCCTTTTTAGTTCTTGTATTAGTTTGGTAAAGAGGTTTAAATTTTCTCGTTGTAGTATTGAGTCAGTTGGGAGCTAGCCTCCTTTTTGGACCGTTGTAAAATAATAATAATAATAATAATAATAATAATAATAATAATAATAATAATAATAATTTATATTCATTCATGAGATTACTTTTTATTTTCAAATTTCAAGGTTACTAGTGTTTAATTTCTTGATAAAGTTGAATGATATCCCAAATTTTGCTTAGTTGCTTTTTAAATATTTGGTGAAAACTTTGGGTTCAATCTATGGTTGAAATTACATAAATATAATAAGCACAAGGAGAGAGAATACAAATGAGAGAAATGACAGTTTTTTGTTAATTTTTTTTTAAGTGAGCTACATTTCTAGGTTATTGGATTTATTGTTTTCTATTTTGGGGTAAATAGTTTCATTTTATTCAAGCTCTTCAACTTTTAGCCTTTTAACCTTTGTTTGTTTTAATAAGGTTCACGTTTTTTTTTTATCCTTTAGGTTCTTTTTAGGACAAGGAAACACTCTTTTAATGTTTTGGGATGTCATTTTGAAATAGGCGCACATGCCACTTAATTTGCGAGTCCGGTCTATGAAAGAGATTTTCTCCAAAATTGAGCGTATTTTAGAAGGTTCCAAAATTAGACTAGACCAGATTTGGGGGTACAAAACAATTGGGTGGGAGACTAGTAACTAGGCTGGTGCATTCTCCTCACTTGAAGTTTCATGGGTTTTTAATGTCTAGTTAGGGTTCATGAAGTCCATATAGGTGTTAGCACAAGGCGAGATCATGGCTAATCAACAGGTTAATTAAGAGTAGTTAAGTTTAGGTGAAAGAACGCATCCTAATTACGGTGTTTGCTTGTATAAGAAGCGTGCCATTTAAAGGATCTTTAAGTCGTTTTATTGGAGGATTTAAGTGGAGTGACTGGACAGGTCGACCTAGATAGCCCCAGATATTAAAGAGTAGTAATCTTCATTAATTTTGGTAGTGTAGTCCTTAGTTCGGGTTTGTTTTCTTTTGTTCTTTTCCCCGATGTTAGAAATCACAATTACAACTATTTCTTAATAACGAACATAGGTCATTTAAAAATATTAATAATCCAAAGTGTTCCTTTAGATACATTACTACTTCCTCTATCTGAGATTAATAATCACTGTAATAACGTAATTTGAATAATTACACGACGATCAAATTGCGACTGAATGAGATCCAAACTTCCAAAGTAATGGGAAGAGCAATTTCCTTTCCTAGCATCATATCTTCCCTAACACCTCGCACTGAAATTGAAACGTGTATGCGTGTGTATGTATATATGAATGAACAACGCTTGTTCTGTTGTTCATTTCATTTCTTTCGGCGCAAATTCACTTGCTCTTAGCTTAGGGCAAACTCACTGATTCTTTCCTCCATTTTTACTCTCTCTCTCTCTAACTCTCTTTCTCTCTCCTCTCTTCCATTGATAATCAATCAAGCTTCAATAATGGTGGAAGCCATGGATATACTCAGAGCGAACCTCCCTCGCGTTCGAATTCCTGAGCCTACTAATCGCATCTTCAAGCATGAATGTTGCGTTTCTTTCGATACTCCTGTGAGTTCTTTTTTCTCAGTTTCGGTGATTTTTGCTTTCGTTTTTGCTGGAAATTATTCAATTGGAATTCATGCAAATGTTTAATTGATTTTAGTTATCGATTGTTTTTTGACCTAGTGATTGATTATGATGATTGCTTGCGTATTGAATTTTAGTCGGAAAACGTTAGAAATGGCGGAATTGCGGTTTTAGATGATTAAACCAGGGTTTTTGGTGATGTGATGAAGATTGATTGAAATCTTGAATTTGAAATGTGTGCTGATTTTTTTTTTGCGTGTTTCTAAGTTAGCTGGAAATCCATGCAAGAGAATAACAAATTACTGGGGTTAATCTTTTGCTTGTTTATTGTTACGATTATGCCGCATTTCGTTTTTTAGAACTATTCAGGACGCTATTAGTAGTGGTAATGATATAATTTCTTGAAATTTGTTACGCTGAATGCGTTTATGGTGGTGTTGTAGAAATCTGAAGGTGGATTGTATGTGGATATGTCTTCTTTCCTTGCCTTTGGGAAAGATTTTGTGCAATGGAACTACGAAAAGACTCTGAATCCAGTTTATCTACACATTAAGCAGACAAAGAAGGTGGTTGCAGAAGATAGGCCTTCAAAGAAGCCAACTATTTTGGCTATTGGTATGCTGTTTCAATTCGTACTGTTGGCCTTCTTCATTTTCCCTTATCATGCTGTTTAATTGTGAAGATATGGTAATTGAACTGAAAAACTGCTATGGTAACATTTTATATATATTGTGTTTTGTATTATCATTTCTTAAGAATTGGAGCAGACTTCAAATTAATAAGTATTATGTACTCTGTAAGTGATCAAAGTGGCAAAATAAAGAAAGGAATAGGGATAAACATGTCTAGATTGCCTATAAGGTGCCATTTTTTTTTTCTTTTCCATTTTCTTTAAGACACATAAAATGTGCATAACTTGTAATTGTAGCAGTGGTTATATAAGACACATAACTTGTAAATGCAATTAAAATCGTGCATGGCAGTGATCTTGACTCGGGTTTGAACTTCTTTCAGCATTACATGTGTTGCCATGATCCTTTTAACCTCAATTTTTCCTTC